ATCTGGGCTCTGGTGCACCTGCGACCTTGGCACCTACAGTCGGGGGTGCCCAGGGTGAGGCCTGGGCTTGGGGCCCCGTGTCCAGCTGTTGGACCATCAGGCCGGCGGGCCCTGCAGTCTATCTCCCCTCCTTGCTTGTCCGGGCCCCACGGCCACTGCCCACCCGGTTGGCTGGGCCTGCTGGGAAGGGGCTGCAGGGCCCTCTGTGGACCCCATGCATCACTCACACCTACAGACAGGTCACACACACACAGAACGTGTCACACCCACACACAGGACATGTGTCCTTACTCACACTCATATACAGGACATATGTCACAACCACACACTGGACATGTGTCCTCCCTCACACCCACACACAGGACATGTGTCCTCCCTCACACCCACACACAGGACATGTGTCCTCCCTCACACCCACACACAGGACATGTGTCACTCACACCCACACACAGGACACATGTCATTCACACCCACACACAGGACATGTGTCACACCCACACAGAGGATGTGTGTCACTCACACCTACACATGCTCCCATTCATGGCTGCAGCTCCATCCTCACACATAGCCCAGAACTTCCTTCTCTTTCCCTCTTCAGCATAAGAGCTGCCCTGTAGGGTGGTGGGTGGGGAGCCCCGTGACGCCTTAGAGTCCCCAGGCATCTCCGGGCTGGGAGCCCCATCCAGGGGGTGTGCAGGTGCTGAGAGCAGCGGCCTTACCGCCCGCCCATGCCTCCCCGGTGCTCAGGGGCAGAGACCTACCCTGGATTCTGTGGTTACCGTCTCAGATGCAGGCCTGGGGACTGCTCGGTGTTCTCAACAGAAGGGGCAGGAGTCCCTGATCCTCGGCTTCATCCCCATTCCCTGGAGGGCTCTGCTGGTGCGTGGTGAGGGGACGTGGGCCTGCCCTTTGGTGCAGGGGGAGCACAGGCCATGAGGCACAGAGGTGGTGCCAGTCACCAGTGTCTGGAGTGACCCTTAGTGGCAGCCAGAGATCCTCCTTCTGGAAGGTTCTGGGTGCACTGCCCCTACTCCAGCGATCATCTTTGGAGAGCTGGGCTGGTGGGCGAGGAAGGATAGGACGGCTTGATCCGCCTGGTGGTCACCCCAACTTCCCATAAGATGGCTGGGTTGTTCAAGGGACAGGAAGAAAAGTTGCCAAGGGCTCTGGCCAAGCGGCAGCTCCAGAGAAGTAGCTCAAGGTCTTCACCTGCAGGAACTGAGCCCCTGGAGGGGAATCCAGTCCCCTTTCCACAGTTAACCCGATTCCAGAAATGAGCTCCAGCCACTGCAAGAGGTGTTTGCTTGTGGTTCAGTTCAATGTGAGAAAGTAGGGGTTGTTAAAGAGGCTACAGACATGGACATGCTGCCATGCACTCCCCAAATCTGCCATCCTGTGCCAGTGGCACCCCAGATGCCTCTAAGGGCCCTCCCAACCTTTGGTCTAGGAATTTGAGGTAGACCTGCCCAATTTCACCCCAAAGCAGACGCCTGGGAAGCTGGGCAGCCGGCAAATGGCCATGGTCCTCACTGCCAGTTCCAATTCTTTGAATGAGGGAGAGGTGTGGCCCTTGACGGCTTTGGAGGCCGGGCTGCTGCATTGTCAGGTGGCTGTGCATCGTCAGGTGGCTGTGCATTGTCAGGTGGCTGTGCATCGTCAGGTGGCTGTGCATCGTCAGCACATGCTGCAGTGGGGAGGGGATGTGGACGGCTTGGGGATGTCTACCAGGAGCACCTGCTCTCCGTTTGGAGCACTGCTTTGTGCATCTTTGTTTTAGGGCCTCCTGGTGTTTTTCCACCCCTTGGGAGGGAGCAATGCCTTGTGCAGCCCTCCTCCTCCATCCCCTTGTGCCCTCCCTTTCCCCAAGGAGCATCCACAGGTGCCTCTCACACCCGGCTGGCCTGGCCATGCGGTGGTTTGTTAATTCATTCACTCCTTCGTCAACAAGCTTGCCGGCACACCTGCGTGTCGGAGCTGGGTGGGTGACGGTGATCAAGATGGAGTTCAGGGCTGCTCTCAGGGAGCCCGGGGCCTGGCATGGGAAGTGAGTTGTCACCCCAACTGAATGCCTAATCATGGTTGAGGGGCACTAAAGGGGGCAAGAGCGGGGCTCTGTGGGCCCTGATTTGGAGACGGGGCTTAGGGAGCCTCCCTGTGGAAGTGACATTTGGGAAGAGAAGAGTTGTGCATGCAGAGAGCAGCTTGTTCATGGGAGAACCCCAAGCAGGGAGAGCTGAGTCTAGGGGGAGGCCAGGAGTTGGACGGGGGTCGGATAGGGAGGATCTGGGGACCGCGGGTTTTGTGCCAAGTCAATGGAAAGCAAATGAAGGGTTTTGTAACCGGGGAACCAAGATCTGAGTTGTCTTCTAAAAAGTCACTACGGCAGTGGGGTAGAGAATGGAAACTGAGTGAGCAGGAGAAGCTGGGGCCAGCTAAGAGGCGTCTGCGGAGGGCAGGAGAAGACGGTGGCCTTGGTGTCATGGTGGAGACGAGGTGGAGAGACGTGGGTGTGTTCAAGGTACCCTGAGGGTGGACCCAACTGGACTGGCTTTGAACAGGATGTGGGTGAATGATCCAGTGTGTACGGTGCTATCTCCCAGACCCCTGGTCTGAGCCGCTAGGTGAGCTGCTAGAAGGATTCGCTGTGTGCTCATCTGAGTGACTGGCCCGGGGTCCAGGGAGCATCTTGTGGCCGTGCCCTTCCAGCCTGGGACAGACGTTAATCATTGGTCTCTGTGTCCTCTTTCTAGCCCAGGATGGAGACCAGTGATTAATGTCTGCCCTGGACACTGAAGAGAGGGCAGCGGCTGCCCCGGGCCTGGTGTCCTGCTGGGTGCACATGTGGTAGGGTCCATGTGCGCCCCTTTCCGCCGGCGAGAGTCAGCTCTGCCTGCCTGAGAGACGATGTCGTCATCCACGGCAGCGGGCACTCTGGATCTGGCTGGGATTTTCAGAAGCACACTCCTTTCCCCCTTCGTTCCGGATTTAGGCAGATGCTTCCTGGGGGAGCAGGGAGGGAGGGAAGGGTGTGGAGTTTAGAGGAGGGACACAGGGTGGTGGGCGTGGGCTCCAGGAGAGGGGCCCTGAGAACAGCAGGGTGGGGTCCAGCCGGTGGGAAACAGAGTGGGAGGGGGGAGGCAGTGAGTGGCTGCTTTTCCCCGGGCTCAGAGATCCGGGCAGGTCCTGCCTTCCATCCTTCAGCAGAGCCCGGGGAGGGCAGCATCCTAGGGGTAGACTCCGGGCCGGCACCTGCTCCCCACCCAAGGGTGATTGGTCTTGGCTGTTTGGGGCTGGAGGTCTTCAGGACGAGGAAAACCGGAACCTGCGTGGTGGGAGCTAAACACAGCTGGTTTTTGCTCTTGCAGCTGCGCATGTCAGCAGGCTTCAAGCCTCACACCTGGGACACGGATGTTTCCTGTTGCTGGGCCCCAGGCTGGTCCCCTTTCCCTGGGGAATTTCCTGGGCTGCTTCTAGGGTCATGGCAACTTCCATCCGGCTTCCCTGCAGCCCCCCGGCCCCTACCCTGTCGAGTTCGGACACATCCTCCAGCTGCACGTGTTTGGCTGGAGGGAAGAGGCTGGTGGGGCCTGGATGTGGCCAGATGCGTGTGAGGGCCCAGGCGGGGAGGGGATGCCCCCATGCCCGGGGCAGCGGTGGTGGCCGTGATTGCAGGAGGCGTGGGAGGAAGAAGCTTTCACAGGGACCCGTGTTTCTCTGTGCCAGTCCAGACCCAGGCCCGGTCGTCCTGATCCCAAGTCCAGGTTTGGGTGCTGGCCTTGGGCACATCTGTAAATGGGATGACCGCACAGGCCCTGAAGCCCGAGCCAGTCATGGCTCACTCTGTGGTCCAGGCCAGGTAATGAAGTCTCTGAGCCTTGGTTTCCCCACCGGGCACAGCCCCTGGTCTGGGGCTGCTTAGATGATGAGTGGCCAACTGTCTTCCTTCCTCTCAGCTGACCTGGCCCATGCCTGGGAATCCTGGGAGCCCTGGCGCAGCCACCACAGGGCCCACCTGGCTAGAGCTTCCCTCCCGACTCCTGGCAGGGGGGCCATGAGTGACACACAAACTCACTGAGCCCACAGGTCGCACAGGCTCTGGGTGGGGCAGGGGGTCCCAGGTCACTGCCCTGACCATGCAGTCACCCAGCGAGCACCCCTCAGGAGTAAGCGCAGCCCACGCACCTTGGCCTTGCCCTCTTGAGTAGTAACGTGCAGGGTAGGAGTTGCCCGGTGAAGGAACTTGGTACTGGAGTCCCTGGGGGGCACCTGGTCCAGCCTGGAGGGCACCTGCTGTGGAAGGGGCAGCGAGGCAGTGTGGGACTGCCAGTAATGGGGCTGCCTGCCATGCCGCACGGCACCCCCCCTCTCCAGAGCCCCCACCTGGCCTCTCAGGTCCAGCTGTGGCCTCCTCCACCCTCACACCCTGGCCTTGCTTTCCCCAGGGAGCCCCAGGGCAGCTGCTATCAACACTTGGCTCCCCACCTGCTAGGACCTTACTTCGTCCCCTCCCTGGGGTCCGACTGGCCTGGGCCGGGGCCACCCCTCCCTGAGAATGGGGCCAACCTAGTAGGTTCTACCATCAGGGTCTTGAGGGGGGTCCTCAGCCGGCCCTTGTAGCTGTGCAGTGCTGACCACTGGGCAGCCTACCCCTCCCCACTGCACCCCCACCTTCCCTCCCCCACCCCTCCCCAGCCCCCACTCCCTGCGCACCTTCCCCAGGAAATGCCCTTGGCTCCTCCCCATCTAGGTGAAGTGAATTAGGGCTTTACTGCACTCTAGAGGGGTTCCGCCTAACCCCAACTGCATGTAGCCGTGGCTGGGGGTTGGGGGACACTGCAGCCACCATTGGTGGCTGGGCAATGTGTGACCCAGGACAGAGAGAACAGGGCTGGGGACCTGGCAGGCTGGGTGGGCTGCCTGCCTGAGAGACCCTGAGGCCTCACCTGCCCCTGCCTCACCCCTCCTTGCCTGTCTCACTGATTTGCTCCTTCCCTCCGCAGCTGAATGCAGTGCCGGCTTCTGTTTTCACGGTGGCCGTTGTGCGCCAGGCTCAGCCCAGCCGTGCCACTGTCCCTCCGGCTTCCAGGGACCCCGCTGTCAGTATGGTGAGTGGAGCCCCTGGGGCACCAAGGCCCTGGTCATGGCCAGCCTGTGGGCGAGGGGCGGAGATGTGTCGGCCACTGGCTGTCCCCAGCACAGCTGTGTAGGGCACACCCTGAGTGAACGGGCATTCTTCTGAGGACGTTCTGCAATCCCTCCACCAGTTCCCTGCAGCCCCTCTGAGGGTGTTGAGAGGAGGGGTGACCCCAAGAGAGCCCCCTCAGTGGATGGTGCTGGAGCATATCATCTTGGCGCCCACCGCGCCAGCCCTGCTGTTTATAAAAGGGGACGCTGGCCCCCTGGAAAGGCAGAGGTGTGGCCAGGTCCCAGGGTCTCCAGCTGTGCTGCCACCTTGCCGAACTGTGGTTGTCCTCAGTGTTACAAGATGGGGGACACCCGGGGGTCCTAGCCAAGGCGACTGGTTGAGTAACCGCAGCACAGCCTAGACAGGATTCCCTCACAGGCCCCAAAGACCAGGTTGAAGCAGAGCTGGCAGTGGGGAGATGCTTGCAGGGAGTGGGGATGGGCTGAAAGCAAGCCATTGGGTGACGGGATTTCTGTGAAGAAAAGTGCGCGCCAATGTGGGGAAAAGCGGCAAAGCCTCGTCCCGATTCCTTTGGGCCATGGGCAGCGGGAGTCTTCCTTCCTCTGTGGCTTCCTGCTCTGTCCCGGGTTGCTTCATCCTAGCCTCACGCAGCCTGAGCCACAGCCGTCCCGATGGCATGAAACACTCCCGGTGGCCCTGGGGCTTTGGGGCTGCTTGTGTGGTGGCCACCGGGGCTCCATGCCAGGCAGATGCCAGGGCAGAGTGAGAGATATGCTCCGGCGCCCAGGCAGACAGCGGGGGAGACTCGAGGAAATCAGAGGAATCAGGAGGTCCCCACGTTTGTGAAGGGCACCTCTGCCCATTCCACGTTCCGCTGGGGGCCGGGCTGAGGAGGGGTTCTCGAGAGGTGCTGGTCTCCCCAGAGTTCGGAGCTGGGTGCCAGCAGCCTGGGGCATTGGTCATTGTTGGAGGGTTTATTGGTGCTGGAGGGTTTATTGAATGTCCTCTGTTAGCTGGGACGGCCCCTGCCGAGTCACCGCGAGTGCCTGTTGCTTCCTGGATGCTAGGCGGCTGGGAGGGCTGCTGCCCCGGCCGAGGCCTGAGACCCGGCTGTCTCATGTGGACAAAAGGGCCCCCCCGGGTCCCCTGCCCTGTCACTGCCCTGCGACATCCAGGCTGCAGGCCTTGGCCAGGCCTCCCTGTGGTCAGAGGTGACCTGTCCCAGCTCCGAGGGCAGATGGGGGTCCACACAGGATGGAGTGGGCTCCGACTGTCACGTTTGGCCTCTTGAGAACTGTAATTATGGCCACAGGTAGGAGTTGAGAAATGCCCCGAGGGCCTTTCCGTCTCATTTGTCTAATCTTTTGGCGTGTGCGTCGCTTCATTTCGGTTTCACACGGAAATACCAGGGCTGACTGGGCTGGCTGGGGAGGTTTCCGGGACAGGGCTGTGGCTCACTGGTCAGCCAAGCAGAGCCTCCGGTGGTCTCTGTTCCTAGGGGAGGGCAAGGAGGAGGTGGCCTTGGGGGGTGGCCTTTCCTGGCCGTGTCCTCTGGGAGGGGATGGAGGACACCTGACCTGCCCCCTCAGGGCTGGCCTCCTGCCCACCGTCAGTCCCCTCCTCCCACCTCATCTTTGTCGGGAGCCTGCTCGGAGCCCTCTGGTCCGTGAGACCCTGACACGCGGCCCCCAGGGCACCAGCAGGCACAGGGTTTGTAGGAGGCTCACTGGGGGCTGCACACCCCGTGGGGGAACTCGGCGTCTCATGGGGGCAGGGTGCACTCAGGTGCCCTGTGCCCCACCAGCCTCTTGGCTCTGACTTCTGTGTCACAGACTCTCACGGCGCCTGGGCTCCAGGCTCAGCCTCCAGAGCAGCAGCCCCATGCGCCGGTCACCGTGGGAATGCGCCAGTCACCGTGGGAATGCACCGGTCACCGTGGGAATGCACCGTAGAGCAGGGAGGCTGGAGGCCGGGAGCTCCCTCCTGGCTCCCAGCCACTCTCTTTCTGTGTCACCTCATCAACTCCACACTTCATTTGCTTCCTGAAAGAGGAAACCAAGGTTGGGGAGACCCGGCAGCTGCTGGTGCTCAGCTCGCAAGTGGCCTAGCTGGGGCTGAAGCCAGGTCTGTCTGAGGGAGTGCCATGTACTCCCTTCTGGCCATGCTGCCACCTGGTGCAGGGACAAGCCTTGGTCCTGGGGGAGCCGCTGAGATTTGCTTTGGAGAAGAGGGGAGCAGGGTCCCCGGCAGGGCAGGAGCATCCCTACCTGTGGCTGGCTTGTGGCCCTTGGGTAGTGGGCCTCCTGGGAGAGTGGCCAGTTAGGGCAGACGTGGCCTTCACAGGGGGCAGTTGACAAGCTGGAGGGTGGCTGCCTGGCCTCCTCCCTGGTCACTCTCTCTCGGAAGAAGGGGAGGGTGTGGAGGCTGGGTGTGCAAAGCCGAGGGTACAGGGCTGAATTATGCAGGGTCGAACTGTGTAGGGTGAAGTGTGCGGGGCTGAATTATGCAGGCCTGGGCATTCAGGATGGAGTGCATAGAGCTGGGTGTGCAGGGCCAGACCTGCAGGGTTGAATTGTACAGGGCCAGGTGTGCAGGGGTGGAATGTGCAGGGCTGGGCATGCAGGGTGGAGTGTGCAGGGCTCAGTGTGTAGGCCGGGTGTGCAGGGCCAGGTGTGCAGGACCAGGTGTGAGCGGGTGCTGCCTGCAGGTGTAGCCCCTGCCCTTAGCACTCCCACCTAGACCTCTCACCATCACCTTCCTGTTCCTCCTCCACTCTGGGTCTGGACACTGTAGAGCTGAGCTCAAACACAGTTGGGAATATTTAACTAACCCCCCAATTATAATAGATTCTAGTTTTGAAAATAAAAGCCATATTTTCTGGTTCCCCCAAATTATTTCATTTGAACAACAGAGTCGGGGAGGGAGACAGGAACTCTCTGGGCAGCTACGGAGGGCAGTTGTGGGAAGGAGCCCTCCCCGCTCCCCACAGCCCCAGCTTTCCCTCCTTGGCCCAGACGGGGTCAAGTCTCGGGTGTACAGCAGGCGGGTGCTTTGCAGCAGTTTCCCTGAGGCCCTGAGAACCTTTCCACAGAAGCAGCGGGAGCTGTGGGAGCACAAAGCGGGCCTGTCTGCCCCGAAGGTGGAGGGCCTGGCCTGGGCCAGGGCCTGCAGTGAAGTCTTCCCCGGCCCAGTGCAGGCCTCGGTGCAGTCAGAGTCAGGGCCAGCTGCTCATTTTGTCCAGGGCTGGCTTTGGTATTCCCCAGGCCTGTGCCTGTGTGACCACTCCACCTCTCGGACCCCGGTCCCCTTCTGTTCAGCAGGGAGGAGATTGGCAGTGTTTTGTGCAGGTTGCGTGAGTCCATGTAGGTGAGGCCCAGAGTGGGCCCGGCAGAAGGGTTGGGAAGTGGGGGTCATGGCGGGGACAACCATTGCGATGGCTCAGGTGCAGACTTTGTCCCCAGCTGGTATGGTTTGGCTGTGTCCCCACCCAAATCTCACCTTGTATCTCCCATAATTGCCACGTGTCATGGGAGGAACCCCGTAGGAGGTGGTTGAATCATGGGGGCAGGTCTTTCCCGTGCTGTTTTTGTGATAGTGAGTAAGTCTCGTGAGATCTGATGGTTTTATAAGGGGGAGTTTCCCCGCACAAGCTCTCTCTCTCGGCCTGCTGCCATCCATGCAAGACGTGACTTACTCCTCCTTGACTTCTGCCGTGATTGTGAGGCCTCCCCAGCCACGTGGAGCCGTGTGTCCATTAAACCTCTTTCTTTTGTAAATTGCCCAGTCTTGGGTGTGTCTTTACCAGCAGTTGGACAACGGACTAATACCCTGGCTCTTGGGTTAACTACACACTGAGCACCCAGCTGCCATGTGGAGTCTCCCGGAGTGGTCCAGGGTTCGGAAGACCCCCCAGGACTGCCAGTATCCTTGCCCTGTGGGTCTGCAAAGGAGGGAGGAGGGAGGGAGACCCTAAAGACCCCCTCCCCTGTCCCTGGGAGGGCTTTGGGGTCCCCTCAGAGCATCAGTTTCATCAGATCAACCAGGAACAATTTTCACAGCCAAAAACCTGGCCTCGTCCTGCCTTTGCACCCAGGTCCCACCTGTGTGTGCTGCTCTGGCAAGCGTGGGTGGATGCCCCCACCCCTTCCCCAACACCCACTGGTGACCTGGGCTTGGCACGGAATCTGTAATGAAAAGACCGGCAAGAAGAAGTTAGTGAGGACAAATGACCTCCTAATAGATGTCTTTTGTACCACACAAGGTGACAGAAATCTCTACAAATCTACTAATTGCTTGATCTGGTCTCAGCTGACCTCGTGGAACAAGGGCAGGCTCTGAGAAATGAGGCCTGGGTCACCTCTAGGTACTTTCTTGGTTCAAGAACCTTTGGCTCAGGCCAGGCGTGGTGGCTCACACCTGTAATCCCAGTACTTTGGGAGGCCAAGGCAGGCGTATCACTTTAGCCCAGGAGTTCAAGACCAGCCTGAGCAACGTGGTGAAACCCCGTCTCTACCAAAAATACAAAAATTAGCCAGGCGTGGTGGTGGGCGCCTCTAATCCCAGATACTCAGGAGGCTGAGGCAGGAGGATTGATTGAACCTGGGAGGTGGAGGTCTCAGTGAGCCAAGATTGCGCCTGATTGCGCCACTGGACTCCAGCGTAGGCAACAGAGCGAGACCCTGTCTCAATCAATCAATCAATCAATCAATCAATCAATGTCTTTGGCTCTGATTCCCTTCTGGGCCTCAGTTTCCCCCCATCAAAGGGGCAGGTCAGACGGGTCTCTGGCACCACCACACTAGAGTGTTGCCACCCTCACTCCTGGGTCCAGGTGAGTGGTCAGGGCTCCAGCGATGCCCAGCAGAGGCTTGGCTGCCTCAAGGACTTCCTGGAGGAGGTGGGCCTGTGGGCTGGGGAAGGGTTGGGAGGTGCAATTTGTTCTGGACAAGTTTCCAGACGGGAGAGAGACAGGAGCTGAGGAGCATAGTGGAGGAGGAGAAAGTCATTTTGGCCCTGAGATACAGGGTAGGGAACGAGGGATGCATCAGCCAAGCTTCTAGAGGGTCCTCGGCCTCTCTCGGTGAGATGGAGCCAGGCGTTGCTGGGGGCTGGCTGGCAGGTGCTCCCAGGTACCTGCTGTGTGCCTGCCGAGCTGGGAGAGACGTCAGTGGTCCTGCCTGGAGCCTCAGCACCCAGGCCCACTCTGAGTCCTGCACCTTCGAAGGAACCTTAGTTTCCCCACCTTGAGCAGGAGGCCCTCAGTGGGGGTCTCTCGGGTGTGGGCTGGAGGTGGCTCTGGCAGCTGTTGGGGCCCTGAGGCTATGCCAGGAAGCAGAGCCCTGGAGAAGCTGGGGTGGCCAGGGCTGGGTGGGGTCCTGAGCCTGTTTAGCCCTCGGCGTTGGCACAGGGCGACTTTCTAAACTGGGATCATTGATTAATGGAGAGGAAGCGGCCCTCCCCGCTGCCCTTCAATGCTGCCCACTGTGTCTGAGGGTGGGAGTCTGACCCCTCGCCCGAGCTCCAGATGCCACCCAGGGCTGCTCTTGGCGACCAGCCACGGCCAGGCCTGGGAGCTGCTGCTGCTGGCCTCGGACTCTGTGCCCCAGGGAGTGGTGGGAGGGGAGGAAGGGGCTCCTGGAAGGGTGGGCTCCGGGGCAGGGATGTTCTTTTCACGGCCTCTCTCCATGTTGTGCACGGCCTGGCTGGAGCTGGAGCTGGGGCTGGGGCTGTCTCTGGTCGTGCTCCCTGCCATGGGACCCTGTCCAGAGGCCTGCAGCCTGCAGCAGCCCCAGCCTGGGCTGATTCCTGGGAGGCATCTCGTCTTTGTCCTGTGGATGTGGCCTTGGGTTAACTTGACCCTGGTCCTGGGCTGTGGTTCCAGGCTCCCCACACTGGTTCCTATGCTTACCTTTAGGTGCAGGCAAGCAGAAGGTTTCCATCTGGGCCTGGAGCTGGCTTAGCCAGGAGGCCACCCTGGGGGAGGCTTTTTGTG